TATTTACAATTGTTGAGATTTTGAGATAAGATAATAAAGATCAAGCTTTGAATTTAATTTTTACATATTTAATAAATTTTTCAATATAACTAATATTTTCAAAAAATATTTCTTTATATAACTATATCATTTGAATTCAGTTGCATCTATCGCTAATCTTCTAGCTCCTCCTCTATGTCTAGGTAGATTTATTTTTGCCTTCAAGACATGGAGTTCCCTCTTAATTCATGATTTGTAGTACTGGATATATGCCTCGATATTCTTATGAAGATTTTTATAAATAGTTATAATTTGTCTAAATATAATTTCGTAGCAATAATTTTAGAGGGGAGAGAGACGAACAAGATTTAAAAAACAAGTGAGGGGAGAGATATCAGCGAAAGAGTATAGAGATGCTAGATAATACATGTTGTATCGTATATCTCAGATACAACCTCCATATTGATACAACTTGTATTCATTACTCTTTCAAATTTCGCTAGTCTCTCTCTATTCCCCTTTAAATAATACACACATAAATACATATCGACTTAAAAATTGAAATGTTGATACACGTATACATTAATTATTAACCAAATACATATTCCACTAATACACATATTAACTTTGAAATTTAAAACTGAAATATAAAAACACATATACCCTGTATTTGCAGTGTCTATACACAATGCTAAGATAATTGGTTTTTTCTAAATCAGCTACTATTTTTTTTAGAATTTTTTTTTTATTACTCTTGCTAAATATGCAATTTTTTCTATTCATTTTATAAGTGACCATTAAGAAATCTTTATTATTTGTTATTGGGGTGAAGGTAAATGTCTGCAATTGCAAAAATTCACTTTCTTCTAATACATAGTGGTTGTAAATTGAAATTAGTTAATACTATGACATTTCCATCCATTGATTCAAAATCTTAAAATTATCTATATCTTGAAGAGAAAATGACAAAAATTGCCCCTTATCTATTATGGTAGACTCAAAATAGTCTCTTCAAGTATAAGAACTTCAGCATTTTTTGTCTTTTAAATATATTAAAAATAAGCACTTTTAATCTTTATAAGGTACTTACCTAAATCTAATTGTTAAACTCAATTGGAATTTTGAAAATATATAATGTATATAACATGTACTCACTTTAGTAGTTTATGTTATTTTTCGTTCTATTTAAGAGCCCAATGTAATTTTTTGAGGCTCAAATTTTTATTATTGATTTGTCTATTTAGTGTCTGGTGTATTTCTATAATATTGAGAATTCAAAACTTTTGACAGATTTTTCTATTGTCCCTAGTTAATCTTTTTCCTTCCATTCCAATTAAATCTATCCAATAAAATTAAACAAAAATTTAAAGAAAATAAAAAAGCTTAATTAATAATTAAAAGACTATTTTAAACCTACTAGCTAAAAATAAAGTGGATAAGATAAATGATCAAAAAATTAAAAGATTATAATATTTTTTTATTTAAAATAAATTGATCTTTTTTATTTTTTAATTAAAAAGTATTAAAGTTAAAAGAATAGAAATGTTCAAAAAGGTAAAATAACATAAATAAAATCGGAAAAAATTGTATACAATAACAAAATTTTAATTCAAGTTAAATGATATAAATATAGTTTGATTTAATTGTACCCTATAGCAAACTATTGCTATTTCCTGTCTCTGTGGTGGAATCTCGCTCGCCGCTCTTGTTTTGGTGGCAGTATCACTCGCCTCTCTTGCTTTTATACAAACACAAATGCACAAAATGTTTGTGTTTGTATAAAGCGAGAGGAAATTGTATATATACATATATTTTGTATATACACATATATTGTCGTTTTCCTCTCACCCCTCTCCTAGGTCTCGCTCACCACTCTCTCAGATTTCACTCGTCACTCTCGTCTCTCTTTCTCATTTTATAAATACACAAATTATACAATTGATCTTTTGTATACAACTGCTCTTTTGTATATGTATAGCGAATTATACAACTGCTTTCTTTGTATATGTACAACAAGTTATACAACTTTTTTTATATGTATACCAAAGTATACATATTTATGTTTGCTATGAATCACAATTAAACAAATTATAGCCATAATATACAAGTATAATTTTTATATTTGCTATATATGAAAGTTACTCAATAAAATATTATTTTAACCAAATTTAAACCAAAAAAAAATTGGCGTGAAGAATTTTTTTGAGTGGATATTTGTCATTTCTCTGATTTGATCATCGAACATAAGGTGGACTGCTTTTTGATAAAATAGTGCCATGAAATTTAGGACCACCACGACGCATCACCATATCGATAGATAAAATATAGAGGACTATGATTGGTATAAATATATATCGTGATTGGATTCAATGATTTTTAAATTTTTACCTTTTGAATTCATAATTCATAATTTTCATTTCTAGTGCTTATTTAATGAAAATTTATGGTTTAATAATCTAAATTGAGTTATTATTTTTTTTAGAAAATGTGTACTTTTGGCGTATCTATTTCAGACATTATTCTTTCTCGATTAAAATTGAAAGAGTTGTATCACATTAAAATTACAAATTTTGTAATATTTGATTCACAAGCAAGAGTGTTAAGAGTACTTTTTGCATGGAGTATAATTTGTGCCACTAAACTTATGACTTGGAGCATGACTTAATTAGGTCACTTAACTTTTGCTTTGGCATAGATAGGAGTTGGTGTATGAGAGATTATTTTTGAAAAAAAAGAAAAAAGTGTGTCACATTCATACTACATTGTCTTTCTCCTCTACTTCTTTCCCTTTCTTTCCTTGCACATTTTATTTTTTTAATTATCTGTTTAATTTTCTGATCAATTTTTTCAATTGTGAATTTTGTTTACCCAATTCTTTCTATTATTTATAATATATTTATCTTTTCATTTTGATAATTGATAGGTACTTTTTAAAAATAAAAATTATTTCATCAAGATGTAAAAAATGAAAAAATAAATTACAAGATGGGGGATCAAAGTTTCTCCAACGAGATAAACATTTAAATAGTCGATCTTAAAATTCTCTTTCGGTACATGTATATACGTCTAATTGGTTACTTTTTAGTACTGATAAAATTAAACTTTTTAATCAATTTTTATAGTATTATAAATCTAAAATAATTTATTTTTTGATTTTCTCATTTTTTTAGTTTGATTTGAAGCATATTACAATAAATGTAAATTTAACTTCTATGAAATATGATGTAAATGCTACACTATTTCATAAATTTAGATCTAATCTAGTTTATGGTGCATAATTATATAAAAATTATTAACCATAATGCGAAAATAAATTTATATTTTTTTTATAAATAAATATTTATTATAATCTACTTTGTTATACTATTAAAATTGATTTATTAACCAAATACTTATACTTTATTAATATAAAAAATGATAAAAATTTGATTTGCCAATTAAAAAATCAATCAATAAAAAATATATGCACGTATTAAATGAGAGATTTTAACAGCTTAATCAATTCTCTACGTAGACATTTTTCTCGTGACTCGTGAATGAAATTTTACTATCCATCAATAATTTTTGCCTTTATTTTTCCTTCTCACATTTTTGATATAATAAAAAATATTTATAAAATATATGTCAATTATCAAATAAAATAAATAAATATGTAAATGATAAAAGGTACACAATTGGATAAATAACATTCGCAATTGGAAAAAATGATTAGTCAATTAAACAAAAACTTAGGAAAATGAAAAATAGGAAAGATTGATAGAAAAGAAAGTGAAAAAAGAGGGGTTAGGGGGTAAAAATTAGGAGAGTGACCATGAAAGAGGTAGGTCCATACGTTTTTTGTTACTTACAAAGCTTTAAAAGGATAAAAATTAAAATTGATGAAGTTTTTTCGTAGCAACTAATTGGTGGATCCATTTTATAGTAGCTTTTTGCCCATATTTTGTTCATATCTATCGCACTTTTGATAAAGAAGAATATTATATATATGCGTCTAATACTAGAGTACATCTTTTGTAATGAAAACATAGCATCAAAAAGAGTGATCGGAATTTATCCCTTACCAGTTTGTTAGTAGCATTCCGCTGCTGATCGACACATCGGGACATCAAAAGCAAGTCTTTTTAATTGACTTTTTCTAAAAATTGTTCAGTCCAGCCCGCTTTGGAGGTTCAGTGTGCCTTTTGTTCCCGTTATTCTCTAGACATGTGATTGTCTACATAGTTTTTTTTAGTTCAAACTAAATGTTATATAAAAAAAAAAGAAACAATATTAGCACACAGTATGTACATATTTTCCTTGTTGAAGAATTTTTTCGAGTGGATATTTGTCATTTCTCCTATTTGATCATCAAAACAAGGTGGACTACTTTTTGAGAAAATAATGTCATGAAATTTAGTACCACCAAGAGGCCTCAACATATCGATAGATAAAATATAGAGGACTATCATTTGAGAACATTAAAAAAAAAAAAGTAGTAACTTTCTTTTCATGTTTCATTTATTGAAGGACCAATATTATTATAGAACGTGCATTTTAACTTTATAGAAAATGAAAATAATAATAAATTAAATAGTAGCATTAGTTTATTAATTTACAGGAGGTATATTTCTATATATAGACATGAGAGCCATAATAAGTATAAGTAAATTCCCAATATTAGAGATGACAAAACTTGAAGTAGTATCAACGTGTGTAATTAAGTCCCAAAAATCCATAGAAAAAAAAATCGAGTTAACTCCATGGGATCCTCAAGTCCTCACATTGGATCCTAACCAAAAAGGATTGCTTTTTCGTAAACCAAATCCTAAAGAGTTAGCAAAATCATCATCAGAAATTATTGTCAATCATCTAAAAATTTCACTCTCTAAAACTCTAAACTGTTTTCCTCTCCTCGCGGGTCGACTTGTTGCTCGTAAAAACATTGATGATGACACCTTATCTTTCTTTGTTGATTGCAAGAATGAAGGAGCTGAATTCGCACATGCCATTGCACTTGACTTGAATGTAGCTGATATCCTTGAACAAACTTACGTGCCAAAGATTGTCAACTATTTAGCAAGGAGAACATTGCTCAGCTTAAAGCCAAAGCTAATTCTGAATATGGAAATAATATAGTTTGTATCTCTTCATTACAAGCTCTTTTGGCTCATCTCTGGCAATCTGTTATACGTTGTCGTTTCAGTACCAATGCTGCTGAAATTACTTATAGGAGCTGCATTTACCTCAAGGATATTTTGGAAATGCCTTGCATCTTGTCAACGTCACAACCACCGCTAAGGAGATATTGGAGCATGATTAGGTACGTCAGATTTGAGTGACCGTCTGAGATAGTAACTTGAAATGAAAATACTAAATTTGAATTCAGGTTGGGTTGCTTTGCAAATGAATAAGGTGATATCCACGCAAACTCATGAAGAGGTTATGAATTTTTACCAAAGTTGGGTGAAGAAATCGAAGATGTTGAAAAAGAGTGGAGTGTTTGCTAATAGCTTGATAGCTAGCAGCTCGCCCCGGTTCAATGTATACAACAATGATTTTGGATGGGGGAGACCTGTTGCAGTGAGAAGTGGTGCTGGAAACAAACATGAAGGGATAATAACAATATTTTGTGGTGCAGAAGAAGGAAGTATGGACATTCAACCTCAAACTTTGCGTGCCATGGGACAAGATACTAAATTCATGGCAGCTGTTACTAAAATTCATGACATCGTTTAAGCTAATTACTTTATTATTATTATTGTTAGGGATAAAGGTCTCAAAAATATCTCAACTTTGGTAGAATTTGTTGCTTCAATACTAAGCTTTTATGAGGACCTATTATTTTTCTGAACTATTTAATAATGTACTTTTTATCCCCAACTATTTAATAGTGTATTTTAAAAGTATATATGTGTCCATGTGGACAAATTACTATTTATAATTTTGCATTATTTTTTATGTCCACGTGGACAAATATATATGTTTAAAATATGGTATTAAATAGTAGGTAAATCACATAAATGTACCATATTAAAAAAACTATTTACCATTTCTGTCAGTATAATTTTCTTAACTAAATATAAATTGTACAGTTGATCGTCCTTCGTCTCTTTCTCTGCCCTTTTCTCTTCCTCCTCTTCTTTTTTATCTTTTTACTTCTTCGTTCGTCTCATTCTGTGTCAATCTCTCTTCCTCCTCTCGTTTTTTTTTAAAAATCATTTAAATAATTATTTTTCAATTAGTTTTCCCATATTTCACTATTTTTATTCAAAAACACGACAAGAAAAGAAATAGAAAAAATAGAAAATTATACAATATCATGTTCTCAAATAAAAATTTCAAATTTTTAAGATTATAGAAACAAGAGTTCATCGTCAATGGTTATTGTAAAGTTCATCACCAGGTGTTTCGAAACCATTCTTGACCGTTCAAGTCACTGAGCTAGTGCGGATTCTTCATTGGTTGCACTATAAATCATTGAGTAGCGGATGGGACTTCATTTTGGTACTTCTTCAATTCTTGGTCTGAAATAGCACGCAACAACGAATTAAGCTTATTGTTAATAAATCGTCGATTGTGGATCGTTGATTGCCTGAATTTGTTGCTACTCAAATTCATGTACAGGAAGATGATGTACATGATGATGAATATGATGTACCTGTTGTTCATCTTGTATTTCAGAATTTGTGTAAATAAGAAAATCAAGCCCACTGAATGCACAGTGCCTTCTTCACGATATTATTTCCTATAGTATTCGAGGTTTGATTTGGAATATGTCTCCCATGATAGAATGATCTCAATTATCAGTGTATTTATACCCAAATCTGGTGTTAGCGAGCCAATCAACGATAGTAAAATACTAGATTTAGTAGCAGTAGAAGAAGTCCAGAAATTATATTCTTAAAATGAGGGGAAAATCCTCAATTTATAGAAAACAAAGGGTAGTGCAAAAATTTTTATTGTGCCTTACCAGAAATGTCACAGACCTTTGAAAAAGTCACAATCTTTCGGAAATGTCATCACTTTTCATAAATATCGCAACTTTTCGTCACAACTTTCATAAAAATCGCAACTTTTTATCAAAGTCACAACTTTTCATCAAATTCACAATTCTTCATAAAAGCCGCAACTCTTGATTTTTCATTAACACATTTTAACCCCTAACAGTCAAAAGAAAGAGTTTTCCATTTTAGCAAGGAGAACATAGCTCAGCACAAAGCCAAATCTAACTCTGAATATGGAAATTATGAAGACCAAAATATAATTTGTATCTCTTCATTACAAGCTCTTTTGGCTCAATTCAGGCAATCTGTTATCCGTTGTGGTAACAACGCTGACGAAACTTTTAGTTTCAAATTACTTATAGATGCGAGGCCAACGCTTCAACCATATTTACCTCAAGCCTGTTTTGGAAATGTCGTGCATTTTGTGGACGTCATAACCACAGCTAGGGAGATATTGAAATCTTCAAAATAGATTTCTAAACTTTTCTTCTAAGTAAAGAATAAACTAAATATGGAAGAAAATTATATTTTTCTTTCAAAAAGAGTTCAAACATTTATAGTAATACTTTGACTTTTCTTTAAGAAAAAATAAATAAACTTCAAATAAGGAAAGAAAATTAGGACAAAACCCCAATAACTACTAGGTATTCCTCCATCGTTATGATTATATCATTGCTAATACCATCATCACTACTGTCTTTGGAGTCTTCGCCACCTCCTCCACCACTATCACCATTATAGTCAATTCCTACTACCAACAAACTCCATTATCATACCTAGCACCACCAACACCAATTCATACATTCAACGATCACCATCGCCACCTCTACCACTACAATATCACTCACTTCTATTATTATGATCAATCTCTACCTACCACCTCCATCATCATAACTAGAACAATCACAAACTACCACAAACACATCACCAACCACCACCATCAACACCGTCATCTACTAACATCAACTAACTTCATCATTAAAACCATCAATACCACTACCAATCACCCCTATTATAATAGTCACACAACACCAACCACCTTTATCGTCATAACTATCACTACCATCATTAGCGACCAACAACTATATCATTATCATCACCACTACGAACTATCTCCACCACTATTAGCAAGTATAAGTGATTTATTTTTTGAAAATGAAATTATGATTCTATTTTATTATTTTAAAAAATATTTATTTAAATTTTACTTGAATTGCTTATTTATCATGTATATATATAAATAGATTATGTATATTTTGATGTTGAAAAACAAATAGTGTGAATCATTAATTATTCATTTCTTTGACCCATTCAAATTCAAGTATCTAATTTTTGATGAAAATAAAAGACCAAATTGTATGAAATGACAAACTATTAATTCAAATTAAATATATATATATATATATAATTTATTTTATTCGTAATTCACATCAAGCATTCTATTTTTTTGTCATCTGATTCGGTATACAATTAGCCTTTTTTGATATACAATTAGTCGTTTTACAATTTTTGGTATAAAATGTGTTTGTGTTTGTATAAAGCGAGAGAAAAGTGTATATACAAATACAAAGACATATATTTCCGTCCTATACACTTATAATTATAAAAAATACAGATCTTATTATACAAATTACAATGTATAAATTTATACAAGTCTGAACAATTTGTATAAAATTGAATGTCACAAATTATACAAATCAAAAGCTCCTAGCAAATATAAAACTTGCTAAGGAGCGTAATATGTAAACTATAACTATAACATACAAACATGATATTTATGTTTGTTATATGTAAAAGTTGCTCAAATAAAATGAGTTTTTAGTCCATTATATATGTTACAAAGCCTATAGAGCGAAGTTCTAAAATTTAAACACAAAGTTATGTTGAACAAAAACAAGTAAATAACAAACATTATATATATTTATGTTTCAGCTTTATTTAAATAAAATTTACTACCCACAACCCACATAGAGTTGATCAATTAAAGCCCATCAAAATGGTGGGCCGGCCCAAGTTATCCCATCAAATTCCAAGACTGGACTAAGTTATACCAGTCCATAGTAATAGCTCTAGACTTATCCTTCGTTAAAGTGAATTTCAGCTCCTTACTTACAGATAAGAGTCAAAGTTCAAACAGCCCACTTTGCTCCGTTGCTCTGCTCGCTCCGACGATTCTACATACCGGCCGTAAAGAGAGAGCGTAGTGTGATTGGCTCTATAATGGGAATAATGGATATGCTCTGTCGTAGAGCTTCGATCTGCATCTTTAAAAAAGAAATCTTGTTATGGATATTTCAGGTTAGATCACTCGTATGTAGCAGAAAAACAATGTGCAGAAGTATGTATGTTTTTAGAGCCCATATTTATAGGATAACTTATAGAAATCTTTTAGTTTACAATATAATAAATTTTATTAAATTTGAGTGCGTCCAAATACATGTATCTCGTGATATGTGGTGTTAAAATTATGTAAAATTTGGTTTAGATACGTTGTATTTAAGTGGATTTACATATATCTAGATACATATACAAATTTTGCTCGCCTCCCTCACCTTCTTCCCATCTCAATCGTCACTCTCATATCTCGCTAGCATTTAGTATCCCAGAGACATTTGAATAACACCAGATACAATGTGTGATATTAATTGTACCTTTATTAATTAAGAGTAATGCAAATGAAAATTAAATATCACATTACAACGGAGATAAATTACATATCCGTTCCAAATTAGATTTCGTTAAATGTGATGTAATGACCTTTAATGTCATTAACATTCACATACATTCCTAAGAAATCACTTCTTCTCTTTGAAAATCCTCTTGAAAATCACAAAGACACGACAACGCCACCAAAAAGAAAAGAAAATATTTTCCTTCTTTCTTCTTATTCTTATAATATTTTTTGAGCAAGTTTCAAACTTTCAACCACAAGCGCACGTGTTTGAAAGTAACTGTTAAAATCTTGGGGAACGACCGACTACAACAATTTGCACCAAAGTTAAGTCGAAATCGCTTTCAAAACAGTGGCTTGCCATGACATAGTATTTGTAATAAGTTATTTCCTACATTGTAATTATAGTCCAACATCAATATTATAGTATTTTTTGCCCCGATAACATGTATGTAACAAATATCTAGTTTCCATCTCACTCGTCATTATCATATCTCGCTGGCATATCTTAGCGTCCTAGATACATGTATGTAATGTATATCTAGTGTGATTTTATCTTCACTTGAAATCTATTAAACTATTAAATAGTGAGACAAAATGCAATTATTCCATACTATAACAAAAAATTAAAAAATATAATAAAAATATTTACATAACTAGCTTGTTCCTCCATATTTGTATTGTTTACGTTAGTTATAAAATAGATCCTTTTTAGGATCATTTGGCGCATGTTAAAATCAATTATATTTGGACACTTTTGTATAAAACTCACACATTTTCCCCTCCTAGCATTAAAACACTTTTAAAGTTTTAAATCTTTCAACATAAATGTGCTAACTTTTGTATAAAACTCACACATTTTCCCCTCCTAGCATTAAAACACTTTTAAAGTTTTAAATCTTTCAACATAAATGTGCTAGCTAAGCAAATATTGAACTAAGAATTGTAGGGCTTTACCCTAAAAGGGAGCCCTTCCAAAAATTCTCGACGGCCAAGGCAGAACCAAGGCCATAGAGGGGGTTTGGAAATAGTTTTCAACCAGCAATAGACGCGCCTCGGTTAGAACCTCACTAGCTGCGTCATTGCCCCAAGCGCAAAGATGCTTTTGTTTGGCTATAGGCCTTGGATTATATACTCTTTACTTCTTTCCACTTTCTTATGCAATGCCGATTTGGGACAAAAATTAGTAACATAGTACCATGACAACATGCATATCATATATATGTTATAC